TCATTATTTAGCAGTGTCGGTCTCCCCCACAAGAACACTGATTCCGTAAGGGGCTTTTTTTCAATCTCACCATTAAATCCTCAGTGCCTAGCTTAAGGAGGGTGATAGGTTCTTGTGGGATAAAGTCATTTTTTTCCCTCACTACAATCTTTAGAGTCACTAGGATTGAATCAGTTCTATTTGGAAAACTCCTGGAGTAACTAAATTAATTAGGTAAAATTAACCTGGATTTCTTAGGATTTTGTATGATTTCTCTAACAGAGTAAATGAATGTGACAGACAATGATCAGATTTGGAAGAAAAAGTTTGAAGTTCTGCAGCCTAAGTATAAGTAGATGATGTAAAAGGTTAGCCTTGTAGTAGACTTAAATTGTACACACTACAGTTCAGGAATGCAAAAATAAACCCTTTTGAAAAATAAGCTTTGGGGGGTACCTGTGTGACTCAGTCAGTTGAGTGTCCGACTCTTGATTTTGGCTTGGTTGTTGGTTTCATTTAATTTGGTAATTAACTGTTCGTTACTTGAACAATACGAAATTCTCGTAAATACTTTTGAGTGTACAAGTGAGGCAATTATCTCTGCAAGAGTTAAGAGGTGACATTCTGGATCTTTTTGGAGGAATGGTTCCTCAACCCGGGAGGTCGTGACAGGAAAGTGGCTCTTAATCTCTCTGCTGTTACCTATTTTGCAATGGTAGAAAATAAGGTGTGGGATCAACCAATAACACAGTGACTTTGCATTAACAAAGAGAGTTCAGTAGCACACAATGAGGAAGTTAGGGGAAAACAAAACAAAACAAAAACCCATTCTTTATTACGAATACAGGAAACAAGACTATCAGCACCTTTGCATTTGGTTCTCCAACTGAGCAAATATTTAATATATTGATAGCCTGTTTGTATTTAATAGGTACTGTCGGGGAGAGAGATATAAAGGCATTATACAACAGCCTCACCTATAAAAAAAAGGACAGTTAAACATGATTTTGTTGGATTTGATGACTAAGAAAAAAATAAGTTAAAGTGAAGTGGGGCCCTATCTTTTCAATTTTTTCCCCTGACATATTCGCTAAGAGTTCTCTGAACAAGGAAGTTGACTTCTTTGAACTTAAATTGGGCTATTGCATGGAGATGAACATACAATCTATAGTACATTAAACCAGCAAATCTAGTTTTTCACCAACTCAATACTATGCTATAGATCCTGTTTCACTTGGCAAAAAAATTTCTAGCTTGGCGGTGGATGATAAGATGTTCAACAAGGAGAATCCGAGGAATAGATTTTAGTTCCAGAATTTGCAAGTCAAATTTAGAAAATATCCAGTTCAGGCAAGCAAATTTGCATATATGTGCAAGTAAAAGAAGTTAAAAAAAGTTTGGACCTTGACATTACACTCAATATTACATGTATATTCAACCAATTTTCTACTAAAAACAAATAGTTTTGTCTTTTTTTTTAAGATTTATTTATTTATTTGAGAGAGACGGGGGTGGAGGGTGGGGAGGCACAGAGGAAGAGGGAGAGAGAAAGAATCTCAAGAGACTCCTCACTGAGTGCAGAGCCCTACCCAGGGCTCCATCTCGTAACCCCGAGATCATGACCTGAGTTGAAATCAAGAGTTCGCCACTTAATGGACTGAGCCACCCAGGCGCCCCCAAATAGTTTTCAGTCTTGTTTCTGTTTTAAGCTACTATGGGACCAAATCTTTTATCTGCATTCTGAAACATGAAGAGTTGTTCTGAAAGCCTTTTTGTAATCCATTTGATGGTAAAAGCTGGCCTGATACGAATTTATTTGGCAATAAAAACCAAGAAGCTATTAAGCTATTTAGAACGTTTATGTATCTGACTTCATATAAATATGCTTCACTGCAGAGTTATTAATGTTTGATTGTGGGGTGCTGCCCTAGTATCTCCTGGGGGTGTTACATAATATGAAGTATACACATAGGGGCACCTGGTGGCTCAGGTGGTTAAGCAGCTGCCTTCCGCTCAGGTCATGATCTCCAGGTGCTGGGATCAAGCCCCGTGTCCGCCTCCCTGCTCAGCGGGGCTGGATCTCACGATGCTGAGATCATGACCTGAGCCAAAATCAAGAGTCATATGCTTAACTGACTGAGCTACCCAGGTGCCCCATATGTGAATATCTTTATTGGTACTAGTTGTTATGGATTGAATGTCACCCCGGAAATTCATATGTGGAAGCCCTAAGTGTAGTGCTGCTTGAAATGGGGTTTGGGGGAGGTAATTAGGATTAGATGAGATAATGAAGATGGGCTCCTCGTGATGGAATCAGTGCTCTTACAAGAAGAGATGCCAGAGATCTCCCCCCACACACACACTCCCTGGGATGGCACAAAGAGGTCACGTGAGCATGTGGTGAACGGGTGACTATCTGCAGTATATTGCTGAAGCTTTGCACAGGAAAAAATGAAGGTTTCTGGGTCACCTTGTTCCTTCATTCAAAGTGGAAATGTTTTAGTTCTACAGATAAACTGCATATTCCTAGAAATGTTGACTTCCCTGTTTTATTGCATAAAGGAATGCCAATGAGAAAATTGTCACTGATGTCTAGTGACCACAAAGCTAATACCTGGGCATATCCAGAAGTAGTAGCACAGAGGCACCTTTCTAGTCATTCTTTGTAGTCAGGGAACACTTTAGAGTTTGCTAAATGCATTTGCATGCAAAATTTTCTTTCATCGTCAAAATAAATTCAAATGAAGTGTCAGTCTCATTTTATGGGTAGTACAAACTGAGATTTAGAGAAATGAAATGTTTTGCAAGGTAGCATAGAACTAGAGCTAGATTTTTTCACTGAATGAATTTTTCTTCTGAGAACTTACTGTGTGCAAACTACGGACCCCCAACCTAGGCCTTTCTCTCCTCCAGTGGTAGGAATTCTTCTCAGCAACTGCTGTAGCTTCTTGGCTGCCTTATGCCACGCTGTACTTAGCTAGGTAGCTCTAGGTACCCCCAAAGATCCAGCCCACCACTGGACTCTGAACCTGTTGGCAGATACGGGGTGCTACCTCCCCTGAGGGACAAATCTCTCTCTGCCAGTCTCTACTGAGCCAGTGATTGAAAAGGGCTTCTCTTGACATCTAAGGTGTTTGCTTGGGAAGCTCTCCTTCAACTCTCCCTCTCCTCTTCTCCTCCCAATTATTCTGCTTTGTATACAGTAAATGGGAGGTTTTACATTTGACCTCAGGTCCAAATGAGAAGTCAGGTAGGCAACATAAAACCCTCAGGTCTTGGTTTACTCATTGTCCTACTTTATCCTGAACCAAACCTTTCACTAGTGAAGTGAATCAATGTCCCAAATTCAATATAAGGTTTGTTGTTTGTTGAAGTAGACAGAAGGGAAATCATTGTTGCAACAGTAGAAATTTATAAAGCAAGAACAATGAAAATAATATTACATTTAACTGAAAAGCAGGTGAATTGTTAAGCGAAGTTCTTTTCTGAAAAGACAAGTGACATTTAGTCCCAGCTTTGTATTAACTGTGTGTGGAGAAGATAAATCAGGAGTGAGGTATGGCGTGATTTTCTGTTTTAGGAAAAGTGAATTAAAAAAATTTTTGTTCTGAAAATTTTTAAATTTATATAGCTCGTAAACTACACAGAAGGGTATACAACATTAACAACTTAAAGTTTATCTTTAAATTTAAATCTGCAGGCATCTTTTTCTTATTCTCTGTAGGAGCCTTCTCTAATTTTATCCCCTTTAGACTTATTATGCCCCAGAAATAACAAATGAATCATGTCACATAGGAGAAAAACCGGTAGGTCCTTTCAGCACTTTGGGCATATTCATGTTGTTTCAAATATTTTCCTTAGAACTCCACTGGAATCTCTTGTTAGAGTGGTACGGAATTACCAAGCCAGAAAGTCCGAGTGTTGCATTAGTAACAGTGTTCGCAGGAGAGATCTTGGGAACAGAGTTATCAACATAGATTCAGCAAATTCTCGGATATATTTCACCCTCCGGCCTCTAAACTCAAGGGAAAAAAACAACAGCATTTTCTTTTATGGAGTATAGAAAAGCAGCATTGCGGTATATAGAGGAACACGGGACTAGGGGACAGGGTTTTGGTTTTGGTTCTGAGATTTTAACCAAATTATTTTTTCAGGTTTTGATTTCCTCATCCATAAAGGTGGCAGTAGTAATTCCTATGCCATAGAATATCTGGAATGATTAAATAAAAATATTTGATATCAAAATGATATGAAGTAGAGAAACAGAGAGAAAAGAATTCCTGAAGGCTCGACAGCCAGGTGCTCTGGTTGCAGCTGGGGCTCCTAAGAGAGATTAAGATCCATGATTTAGGTCCACAATTCCAACCACGCTAGAATTTTAAATCAAATCATTAATTAAAATGCTTTCAATTAGGTTTAAGTAACCTATATTTTGCTCTACAAGAAATTTTCTTAATTTGAATATATCTTTAAGGCTTGCCATTACTAAATCTCAAAAGCAGAGTAAATCAACAATGGAAAATAAAAATACTTGCTGTAAGTATTTCCTTCCAAATGTGTCTTTTGTTGGCAGACTAATAATTCATAACAAAAATAATCTGTATAACATTTTACACTTTTTCAAAATACTTTTCAAAAGGTACCCTAAATTATATGTAATATGTTAAATAAGTATGGCGTTTAAAATTTGAAAACACCAAGGTCTGACAGGTTATATTTTTCTACTTTTAAAGACTATTCTCTGGATGGAGAGTAAATAATTTCATACAGTATTTTCAGAGATTCTATAGACAAAACTTCCTCAAGCAGAAATTTAATTCAATATGTTAGCCATTGAATTTGAAAGAAAAAAAGATTAAATATATCAAAATATGCTGAAAAGACACTCAGTTTTTCCTGAAAATAAAATTCAGTAAAATCAAGAAAATAATGATAGATTAAAAGTTTCAGCTGTTAAAATTAGAAAACTATCTAAGAACCACATAAAACATTTTCTTTTCTAATAACTGCATATATATCTTCATATATACTTTTCAAGAGTAATCTTATTAAAATATAAATATTACAAGAGTTCACAAATGTTTCAGTAATAGATTTTTCTATTAAACACACACATATACATACAGATATTTAGGAAGAATCCATATCATCTTCTGGTTATAGATGACAAAAAGCATCTGATAAGTTAATAGTCTTTCATTTGACCTTCTACAGAAATAACTGGAAAGTAGTGAGACATATATTTTTAATCACTTTGGTGTATAAGTGGATCAGATTTTATTTTCAGTACTTTTTCATAATTTCTTCTTAGCAAGATAAGCTAGTTACAAGAAAAATAAAGTAATTTAAAGTTAATACTTGATACGAGGCTGGAATATATGTCTTTATAAAAATAAATATGTAATAGATATTTTACTTCCGAGACGAGGTAGATAAATTAAAATATTGTATAACGTGATCTGCACTTAAAAAAAAAGAAAATAGCAATCACCAATTCAACCTGTATGAATCAAATAGCTGGAAAGTTTTTTTATTTTTGACATTTATACCATATATTTCAAGTACAAGGCCTCTTTAATACATTTTCTACTCCCCAAAACCTTGCTATATTGAAATTCTTATTTTTCATTTACTTACTCATTACTTAATCTACCTAGGGAACTTTTCCATTCAGGCCAAAGACATATGCAATTAAACAAAAGATTTCTTTTTTTTTTATGTTTAAGTGGTATTTTCCCTTTATATACCTCATATGGTAAAATACATCAGGAAAAGCTATTACTCTTCAGATGTTGTACCACAAATAATTATTTAGATGATGAGTTAATAAAAATTTCAAGGTCTGCTAAAGAATTATGAAGCTCATCATTCATATCTTGACTTCTAAGAAAATTTTTAAGAGTATCTAAAGCAGTTATTGCCTCATTTTTTGATGGCAAAGGGAGTTCAGTTCCTAGAGATCCATCATCATCCTCTTCGTCAGAAGTATAAAATTCAGTTTCATCTGATTTACTTTCTTCGGTCCATACCAAATCACCTTCTGGTGCAGCTTCACAAGTCTCCAAATCATCATCGAGGGCAGCATACTCTTCTATAGATAAACCTTCAGGAAATTCCACGCCTGCTGCCTGAGCATGGGCAATCAAATCAAGACCGGTGTCTGTCTCTGCATTTGTCTTGTCACTTTCTCCTTTTTGAGATCTGAATCCTGCCTCTTCGTAGCTCTTAGCAATAATCTCTGGGGTCACAGCCCTCCAACAAAGGTGCAAAGTATCAACTGCATCGAGTAGGGAAAATGTAAATTCTTTGCTGCCTTCAACAGAGCTTAAAAATTTCTTGATAAGACAATGTCGATACTTGATTTTAAGGCTTTTAATAACACCTTGTTTCATAGCTATAAATTTGGAAGATAAACATGATGGAAAGAATGCTAACTCAATGGACTTTAGGTTCTTTACCTCTGGATGTGAAGGAAAAGAATCAACAAAAATCACCACTCTTCGTTGCTGGACTTGAAATTTCTCATCGAGCTTCCGCATCCATTGTTCAAATACATCTGAGGTCATCCATGCCATTCTGTTAGCTTCATAACACACAGGCAATGATTTTATACCTTTGAAACAACGTGGATTTCTGTTTTTTCCAATGATAAGCAAAGGAAGTTTCTCTGAGCCATCCATGTTTGCCCCAACCACCAGAGTTATTCTGTCTTTGCATAACTTTCCGATTGAGCATGTTTCTCCTTTAAATGCAAACGTATTTGTAGGTAGCATTCGATACAGCAGCCCAGTCTCTTTTATATTAAAAACATTTTTAGGATGATAATCATTTAAATAATAAGGAAGTACATTTTGGTGCCAGACAGTTGAAGGGTCTACTGATACACCTGTAGCTTCTACAGGTTGAGCTCTGAATACTAAACCATACCTGGATTTAAAGCGATCCAGCCAACCATTACTGCACTTAAAATCATTATGTCCCAGTTTCTGGGCAAAATCGTTAGCTTTTAGACGCAACATTGGACCATTAACTGGTACATTTAGACACTGAGCAATTCGATACCACCTCATTAATGCTTCTTCCAGATCTGTGTAAAAAGCAGTTCTCAGTCTTTTTCTCTTTGGATCAAATCTCAGAGATTCAAAGGCTTCTAGAACTTTGTCCTTATTCTTCATAATAGAAGACAATGAATTTTTCTTTATTCCATATTCAGCTGCAATTTCTGCCTTTTTCTTGCCGCTTTCTACTGCATTTATGATGTCGATCTTTTCTTCAATGGATAAACTTTTCTTTTTCTTCACTGTTACAGGCAGAGCTGAGGCATCCTCGGAAGCTTCTGCCATCTCCACCAGTGCTTATGTAGAGATTGCTCGTCTTTCTGGTGGCTGTTTCTTTAAATTTCTAAAAATTGATAAGTAAATATATTTTCAAAGGTTTTGAGTAAGAAAAATGTTACACACAGCTAGAATATTTTGGAAGAGAAACTTCCTTCCCAGGACCTGTGTGGCTCAGTTTATAGTTTATTCAGTGTTCCAGAAGTCAAGCTAAAATAGAAATCTCATTATGTCAAACCTGTCCAGTCCTGCTGATATATTTTTGGAACTTCAATCCTTTAAGATGATCCATTTTATCCATGCGCGCATTCAACCTCCTATTAATTCTCCGCAGAAGGCCTCCGAGATAAGAAGGAAAAGCATTCAGTAATTTTCAAGCAAAATGTTACCCATTAATTTCCAAGTCTCTTCAGGGTGGAGAAGAAAGTGGTAGAATCCTTCTAGGACTTGACGGCATATCTTCTGCCTCTTGAAAATAGAAAAGAAAAGAAAAGAAAAAAAGAAAGCTATTTTAGCAATGATGTGTCAATTGAATATCAAAAAGAATATTTATACTAATTGGTTATGTTTTCAATAATAATGAAAAGAACGGGAACATGTTTCTGCAAATGTAATAACCAAAGCTTCCAGGAGAAATGCTTACCTCCTAAAGGGCCTCTGTAAAAAGCCCTCTAGCTCTGCTCTGTGCTTTTGAATTCTCACTTGCTTTCAAATGCTTTGTAATATATACTTCTGAAATAATTCAGGCAAATTTAATCTGTTTTAAAAATGGATGCTTACCAAAATTAAAGAACTATAAATGATGCTGGATAGATCTTTGGTGGCTATTTTTCACATGAAGTCACCACTGCCCCCCTCTGACTTCTCCAAAAGAAAAACACAGTCCGACAGAAGTCACAAGGTTCAACTTTTAATAGCACATGGGAGACAGCATCCCCTTTATAGGAGTCTGGTAGAAAAGGCTTCACTAAAAATCAAATCAAGCGATTCCATTACAAATTTTAAAAATCAAAATATTATTTTATCTAAATGCTTACAAACCTAGTAACTTTGTATTAACTTGACACATTAGCCAGATGCACAGAGGCCAGAAATAATCAACAAAATGTATAGAAATAAGCAAATGGTTAAGAGGATATAATGCAGAAAAAGACCTAGACTAGAGTAAGAAGGAAAGTGACCATGGCTCTTGACGTCTCAGGACCTCCACTTCCTTATCTGTAAAATAAAGAACTTACTATACTGTAAGGATCTGGGCTTTGGTGTTAGGCACACCTCAGTTGACAAGTGATTCTGCCATTTAAATTTATGTGATCCTGGGTAGTTTACTTAACCATTTGAAGCTTCAGCTTCCTTATTTGTAAAATAGGTGTAACTACAGCCCCTACCCTATAGGATTATCGCACATTCAAGGAGATTCAGCAAGAGAGTGTAAAGCACTCAGCACAGCATTTAGCACCTTACAAAGTGTTCAATGAATGTTTGGTGATGATCTCATCATCATTATCCTCTCTCTAATGGCCCCTTGGCTGTGTCGATCTTTATAATTTGAAGATTTTTCAAAATCCTACTTGCAAACAGAAGCCAAGAATCCCACTGAAATATATACTGAAAGCAGAGATCCTTTTAAATCAAACAGTACTGTGAGAACAGTCACACGGACCTAGATGGGCTTGCCCCTATCTTCCCAGGTGGCACGTACCCTACGAGAATCTACAAGCTCGGGGCCTACTGCAGGCCAAAGTAACAAGCTAATTTGATGAGCAGGTGTTACTACTGTGTGAAATAGTGTGGGCATGATGTTCCTCAGGTTTTTCGCTCTGTCTTTCCAGGTTTCAAGATGTCATGTGCATTTTTTGCACAAAATTTTGGACAAGAATTTTTGTCAAAATTCCTCTGCTTTTGTTGTCTAAAAAAAGTAATTTTTATCATAGGAATTAGAACTAGTAAAGGAGTTTTTTGTTGTCACTGTAAAAAAGTCTTAATAATAATTATGATAGCCCAGGGCTTTAATTTACAAACACCTTTATTTCCTATATTCCAAACAACTCAGGAAGAAGATAAAACTGAATTTCAAAGCTCATATAGTTATAATGCGTTGAGTGCAGTCCAGAATCCAGGCTTTCTAAAGTCTACTATTCTTTTCACTATATTACAGTGTCTTTGAATCATACTGGTGTGGCCTCCTCTGATAATAGTTATACACTCTGTGTCCCCAGCACCAAGCCAAACCAAGGCAGCATTTTCAATGCCTATCTGAATCTAACAAAAACAAAACAAAACAAAACACCCAAAAAACAAAACAAAACAAAAACAATATCAAGCCTCTACAGAAGAACAGAAGAATAGGCCTGTATGAATTCTGTGAACACAAATAGCAACCATATCCCACTATTAAGTGGGCTCACCTTCCTAAGTAAATAAGCTTTGACCATTCAACTAAAAAACAAACAAAAGAACCTTGCTCACATATGGGATCTCTCTGCACATTTTTCTGTAATTTCCTATAAATCTACAATTACTTCAAAATAAACATTTTAAAATTATCTTGCTCTTATTAGGAAGATACCGACCTTCAGAAATTGAGGTAGCAAGAACCAATTTTTTAAGAGAAAACCATGCAAAATTACTCCCTAAGAGAAAAAGGGACTGTCCCACCTTCTCTCTCCCTTCTGTCTTCTGTTCTTTCCCTTCTTCTTTTCTTCCTTCCTTCTTTTCCTTCTGCCTTATTTCATCATTTGTCAGAAATAAACCCTATCATCTCAAATAAAAAGGATTACAGAAAAAGTCACTTGAATTTCCTCCCATATAAAGCAATATAATATACACAGAGATTAGTGATTACCTTGATCAAATTGAAAATAATGATATGTTTCTTTAGGAAGATATTAGTTGTTTTCTGTGAGTTAACAGTATATATTTCCTTCTAAAACAGTAGTGAAACCTACAATTTTCCATGGTAACATACAACATCTTTATTCCTGAAACAATCACATGCCTAAGGCCAAACCAGACAAGCCAGACTTTTTCCCTAGAAAAGAAGGAGGCACCAATACTGCTTAATCAATGAAGTTAACAGTTTCCATTCTCCCACAGTATAATGTCTGGGATATTTCTTGCAGGGAGTAATGGCAGAAGGTAATATTTCTCAGAAGTACCCATTCTCCCAATTAAGATCATTAATCATTCTACTCCTTGAAAATATTACAGCAGAGAAATATTGTACTGCATGTTAGATACTGTTCTCCCTATGTCAATGGTAAAGCTAACTAAAGAATAAGAATAGGCAAGTCACTAAAAAAAGACTTACCAATTGAAACTCCAAGAAAACAATAGTCAATTCTACTGGTAACAAGAGAAATGTAAATCTTCTTTCAATACAGGAGATACCTTGTGGTTTTTGTTTTTGCCTATCAGAATGGCAGTATCTAGTGTTTGCCAGAATGTCATAACATAGTTTGTGAGGAGGTATATAAATTGGTACAAAGCTTATGAAGCACAAATTAGTAATATGATACAAAAGCCTTAAAAATGTGCATAACTTTTACCCAGCAAGTCCATACCTAGGATTTTTATCCCGAAAGAATAATTATAAATATAAAAATAACCTAGCTTACACATGTCTTCATGATCTATTGCTGCATTTAGTAGCTTAAAACAATACCCATTTATTATCTCACAGTTCTGCAGGCCAGAAATCCAGGTGAGCTCAACTGGATCCTCTGCTTAGGATCTCACAAGGCAGAAATTGAGATGTTAGTTATCTGGAGGCTCTGGGGAAGAATCTGCTTGCAAGTTCATTCAGGTTATTTGCAGAATTCAACTTCTTGTGGTTGGAGCACCAAGGTCCCTGAGTTTTTTGCTGGCCCGTCAGCAGAGACTGCTCTCAGCTCCTGGCTCAGGTCCTTGACTGTGGCCCTTTTCATTTCAGCAATAGAGAACCTTCCTCCTGTCAAATCTCTCTTACACTTCACATCTCTCGCCTTCTCTGCTGCACCAGCAAGAGAAAACTCCTTGCTCTTAAAAGGCTCCTATAGCAGTTTAGGCCCATCCAGATTATCTCCCTTTTAATTAATTTAAAGTCAGCTGGCTACGTCTGCAAAACCTCTTGTGCATGTAATACATGATGAGAATGATGTCCTATCATGCTCATATGGGAGGGAATTATACAAAGTGAGAATCATTGGAAGTCATCTTAGAATTTTACCATACAACCATATTCCTCACATTGTTGTTTTTAAATTACAGACCAAACAGGAAAGAACCTAAATGTATAAAAAGGACTAAGTAAATAAATTAAGAAATACATATGCTGAAACACTACTGAGCCACTGAAGGAGAATATTTAATGATATGAAGAAAATTCCATAATATCTTAAGTGAAAAAAGCAAAATGCAAAACTGTATGGCAACAAAACCAACATATACTGTAAGTTACATAGGGGCAGAGGCTCATGGCTATTCCTACAGTGCTTAGTGCCCAGCAAACAGTACGTTCTAAATAACAATTTCTTAAATAAATGTAGGAAAAGTATATATGCATAGAAAAAAAGACATTGACAAAATGTTCAATGTTAATTCTAGATAATGGAATTATGAAAAACTTCAGTTTTTTTCTCTTTGTAGTCAGAACAATTTCTACTCTTATATTCCACTCAGACTACTATTCACTACTATTCTTTAAATGTTCCATTTATCAGTATCCTCTAACAAAGGTTTGTTTCCAGAGAATTACATTGTGCAATCATTAACTAAATATGTCTCCATGAAAAGGGAGGTGATGATGGAGAGTGATAAAATTATTGTGACATTACCAGAATTCCCCTAGAAAAGATGTGAAGGTAGCACCTTTTTCTTTCTCTTGAGGAAATATTTATATGCAGCATACAGTATTCAACATCTAAAGTGAAGAAAAAATGTTTCGTGCACTTTTAACTCATTGAGAAAGGAATAATATTCTTTAACCTGTTGCCCCCCTTTGTGGTCAATAAATGAAATATAGGCTGTCAGAGTTCCCACAAGCCAAGTGAATAAATAGCACCCGATTTTTCAAAAGCTGAATAATAGCCAATAACAGTACAAAGGCAAATTAGTAGATAATCCCCATGTCATAAACATACAGAGAAGATAGCTATTACCTTTTTTCTTACCTCTCCAAACATAGATGCCAATTTAGAGAAAAGAAGTAATCTATTCTTCCTACGGGAATGAGCAGGCAGAATTCCCCAAACTCTAGGGCAAAGAAAAAAAGAGAGGGAAGAAAGAAAAGAAAAGAAAAGAAAAGAAAAAAGAAAAGAAAGAGAAAGAAAGAAAGAAAGATCCCCATCTAAGTGGGTTTAGATTTAAAATAAGGTCTTTCTGTCAGCATCAAAAATATCCCCCAAATCAAAAAAAATACCAGTTACTGCTTCCTTTTTCCAAAATAAATTACATAGAATTTCACTGTCTTCCATCACCAGCTGAAGTAGCTTCCAGTGTTTTCTTCGAGCCAACCTACATTCTAATTTCCCTTGGGGCAGCAGAAATCATGGGAAGACTAATCCTGTGTGGAGCCTTGTACTATGTATGAGAACTAATCACGTGCAGTACCAGAATCACACCAGACTGGAGTACCTAACATGGTTAACAGCACCTTCACCAAACAGAAATTAGCATGAGTTCCAAGCAGTTCGGAATCCATCTGAATCTCTATCAAAAACATCAACAGCTGCCAAGGAAACTATCCAGCTAAGGACAAATAATTAAAGCAAGTGTCCACCTTTCCAATTTAAGAAACACCTCTGAGTCTAACAATTTAATAGTTAGACTAACTCTAATGAAGCTAAGCACCCCCAAACTCAAGAGACACCTGGCAGGAATCCTTAAGGTGCCAGCCAACTCGAACAGTTAAGTACAGATCATTCAAGCACCACTGAGCACTACCATGCTCCTCTTCCTAATTGCCCTTCTGAAACTAGGAACACTTGTACTTAGCTGCTGAGTTCCATTCTGTTCCTATACAACAAGAGCAGTAATTATTCTAGATTGGGATCCTTTTCTTATAATTGAGAAGACTAACATGATGGCTTTGAACAGAAAAGTCCACAGTAGGCTATAGAACTGAAGTTACAGTTTGAGTGAACTGGCATATACATTTGCTCTTCTCTTTTTGTTAAGGACAAAGCCACTTGAGATGAGGGTCCTTAATACACAGATTCATGTTTTGAGACTTCAGTACCTTTTTTTGACAGAGGAAGTGTGTCCTGGAGATCTCAGCCGATAAATAATGTTACTTACTTTTGAAACTTTTGTGTCCTCAGGGGTATTTACTATTCACGGATATGGGGAAGATATTTGCACAGGCATATATGATTCACTATGCTGAAACTCCCTAGAATTTGTAAAGGCAAATGTCTGTCTTTGGGCACTTAGCCATTAAAAATGTCTCATCAGCTAATATGACAAAGGCAGGTGAGAAGTACAGTCTGAAGAAGAGTAAATCCCACGGAATGCACTGTTATCCTTCGCATTTCTACAAGTGAAATGGCGGTAAAAATGAGCATGCAAGGCATTCAAAGGAAAAACAGTTCAGAACCTTGATGGGAGATGTATGTGGATGGATCAACTGTAGGTACTGTATGCAAATGAGCTTCAGGTGAGTCTAGCACCACTGTGCAGCCATACATTCCCTCCATTCAGTGCCGGGGGGTGGAGAGAGTATCCACAGTACAGGTTGGGGTCTCAACTTGGTAAACTACAAAGGGCTCAGAGAGAGCGGTTTCTGCAGACAGGGCAGTGATCTGCCTAAGAAGAAACGCGGCGAGCAAATAAAGCAGAACTCAGTCATCTGGATAAAGAAACAGGAGCAGGAAAGAAAATGTATAAGGGGTCCACCGTCGGCGAGCGAGCAGCGCATAGAGTGATTACAAAACAGCAAGTCAAGAACTCAGGGATGCCAGGCTTGGAGGTCTGGTCTTCTTGAAAGGGGTGGGCGTGAGTGACGTGGCCGGAGTGGGGCGCTCCAAGCACCGGGGAAGCGAGGGTAAGGCGCCCGCATCCCGTCTGTTCCCTTAACCCCGCATTCCCTCCACCCTCCCACTCCCCCGCGGGACTGAAACAACCTTCTACGTGCTCTCCAGCAGCTGAGAAAGCTTTGGTTCTGTGATATGCGTGGCGGCGAGCTACGTCTACCTCCACCCTCCCGCCACCGGCTCACCGTCTGCTGGGGGGACGCCTAACGCGTGAAGCTGGGGTGTATGAGTGAGAAAGAAGGGATGCTGAGGGCTCCAGGAGACCTCCAACCACTCAAGACCAGGCCCGCGTGCCCTTCTGCAAGCTCCCGGCTCTGGCAGGTGCACTGGGACCCGGGCGCACACTCCTCTGTGATCCGGCCGCAGCCAGAAAATTACCCGGGCAACAGCACCCGCGGAGCCCCGGATGTGGTTGCTAGGGCCGCAGCGAGAGGGGCGGGGCCAGCCTCCAGGAGAGGGGCGGAGGAGGCCTCAAGGGAGGCGCGCTGGCACCATCGAGATGTGGCTAGGCCGGGCCGGATTGAGGGAGAGAGAGGCCGTCCAGGGCCAAGGACAACGCTACTTCCGGTCTCCTCACTTCCGGCTCCGCTGCTCTCTGTGTTGGTGCTGCAGGCCGGGTTGAGAGGCTGCCGGTCTGAGTGTCCTCGCGGTTGGTCAGTGTGAAGCTGTGACAGCTGCAGTTGCTCCCCGCCCCCGAGGATCCGAGGTGCGTGGGGGGAGGGGAAGAAGGAAAAGGCCCAGGTCGCGTTTCCGCTCACTTGGTGCCCGGTTTGAGGCGATTCCAGAGAGCCGCGGCAGGGATAATCCTCGACGTGAGAGCCGCCGAGTTCCCCGCAGACAGGTGAGGGCGGAGCCGGCCCGCAGGGAAGGGAGGGGCAGGCTCGTCCGAGGTAGTTGGCGGGGGCGGACACGTTGCCTCTGGAGCTTGCCGTTCCGGACTTTCACTGGACACTGTCCCTAGGCTGTGCCGTATCTGCCCAAGTATTCGGCCTTTCGTTTCTGCCCCAACCCCCTGTGTCCCCGAAACAGCCGGTGAAAAGGGAGGACTGGCCCTTGCAAGGCTGCACTCTCTCATCTTTGCATGTGTTGGATGGGAAAAGGGGTGGCAGGATCCAGGTCTTTCTCGACTAAGTCTAGGAGTGGGCCACCTTGAGGTGTGATGATATCCCGTGTTTATTTTTCTCCTCTCTCTGCATCCCTTACTTTCTCTCTCCCGCAGCGAGAGGAACGGAGATAGTGATAGTCCCTCCCAGAGGTTCATGGGGCAATCAGTGGTGCAGGTTGGAGCCTTGCCTAAGAAACGTCCCAAGTCTGTGCCGGTGAGGACGGCCAAGGAATGCTGGAGTTTGGGGAGGAAGTTGTGCCGTCGTTTTCTTGTCCGTTCCTTTTTGCCAAGTTGGTGTGTTTACGTGTCTAGGAAAAGGAAAGATTTTTTTTTTTTTAAAGAACAGTTTCTAGACGCTTTTCCTTTTTACTTTATTGCTTCCTCTGTTGCTTTTATTTTTCTCTTGAACCCTTTGATCTCAAAAAGTTTATAGTTTACACTTCCTACAGCCCTTAAGCCATCCCCTTTTAGGATTTCTGTCTCCTCCCTTTGTTTTCTTCTAGATTAAAGTACGTAATTTCTCTAACTCGTTTCTTATCTTTGTTTTCCTTGCTCTACACGACCAACACCCTCTCCTGACCACGTCTCACACTTATTGTCTGAGAAAATAGAAAATATTTCTAATTTTATTATTTGAATGAAAATCTCTGCCTCCGTTACTTTCATTCCTTTTCAAATTAATAAATTAGTTTGCTTTAATCCTGGGTTATGCCTTGGGGTCCATAGTCTAGGAGTCCATAACTTCCAGGGGTTTTCTCATCCCCACCCCTGAAATTATGTGCAGAGCTTTGTTTCAGTGCATGGGGTGGGGGAGTTGGGGGAGAATGTCCATTTACAAAATCAAATTCTCAAAGGAGATATAAATCCTCCAGAGAGATTAAAAACCATTCCTTAGTGTCTTGTTCAAGTTAATGACAACTTTTTTTGTGGAGCTTTTATTTTTACAAACTGTAAATAGCTTGTATTGGGAGAGTAGAAAGCAGAGGTTCTAGCTTTATACTGAAATCTCTTAAGTACTTCAAAATGTCGGTGTTTCTAAATTCTTTCTTAGACCTAGAGAAGGAAGCAAGACTGCCTACTTATTTAGTTCCTGATTTGTGGTTTTGAGGTTTCTTTTTAGGGATAGCTGTTTGTGACCAATGCTTTGGAGATCCAGTGGGTTTACAAATTAATGTGGTTAATTATTATGTAATACATATTAAATACCACCAACCTACTAGGTACAGTTCAGAACAAAAAATTTAATTTTTGTTGTCCTTTGCTTTCATTTTCTCGTTTTTTCCCTTGAGACTTTGGCTTTGCTAAGAATGGCAAATGAGATATTTCAGTAGTATAGTTCTTAAATTTTTGGTATGTTGCTGCTTATCTTGTCATCCCCTTTCCTTCTCTGTATTAAGTATTTTAATGATTGTTCTTTCATGTGAATAAGTTGGTATCCCTCCAAACTTAATGTGAGTTTAGAGTGTGTACTTGAACTTACTGATCTGGTTGGGAAATGTTTATTGGTTGAGGGTTGAAGTTCTAAACGTTTGCCTCTTGTTTCGTAGAATGTTAGAACTGGAAGAGACCTATACAGCTTATCATAGTTTGTGTAGAGTAACCAGATTCTTCTGCTCACAAAATTATTTTCCTGAAGTCTATCATCACTTGGGGAAGCAGAAAACATAATTTTATAAAGAGTAGATTATGCTGAATTAGTTTCTTTCTAAGCTGATGACAAAGTCAGCAGATAGGTTATATCTGACACCATACCAACAATTAACATTTTTTTGCTTACTGTGTGCCAGGTATTATGTTAAATGTTCTACGTGACTATCTCATCTAATCCTCACGGCAACTTTATAAGATAGCTAAAATCTCCATTTTTATAGATGAAGAAACTAAAACTAAGTGATTAACTGAAGCCAAAGTAATCTGCTCAGAAGCACACTGGTGGAGCCAGGATTGAACTTAGGTTGTTTGACTCCAGACTTGAGCTCTTAACTACTACTCTAGATTGCTACCATATTTCCTTTACATCATTTTTGGCATGACTTGGGGGTATCTCACCTTATTCCTATCAGCTGTTAAGAAAAGAAGATCTTTTCCCTTAATCTTCAGTAGATGAACACCTTTTTGAATGTCATACTTAAAAGTATGACACAAAGAAATGAACTTGGTGAAAGCCTATGGAGTGTTTATTTGTTAGAGTTTTCCCATGGGGATGGATATAAATCTGTGTGTATGTAGAGTGTGTGGGTTTATTATGACGTGAGGAGTGGAAAGTGAGAAAAAGGTTTTAAGTAATAAACTTGGCTTTGTAAGAGTCTGGAGGTATAAATACATCCAAGAATGATAGATTTGGGATGGAGTAAGGAATAAACTCAGGATGAAGGAAGGAATAAATTCAACAGGGCATTTTTTTTAAGATTCATTTGTTTATTTTGAGAGAGAGAGAGGAAGAGGGAGAGAGTTTATTTTGAGAGGGAGGAGCAGAAGGAGAGGGAGAGAGAATCCCAAGCAGACTCCATGCTCATCGTGGAGTCCCGACTCGGGGTTCCATCTCATGACGCTGAGATCACCACTGGAGTTGAAACCAAGAGTCATATGCTTAACTGACTGAGCCACCCAAGCACCCCTCAACAGGGAATTTAAGCTAATATGGCTATGGATGAAAAAACTAACAATGTATGTACAGACTGGAAAGACCTGTTCCACATAGTATGAAAGATGATGACTTAGGAAACATGACAGTCTGAAAGTCAGATATGTACCAGCATTAGTTCTAGGATGTATGAAAAACACTATAAAACAAAAGAATCTGAAAATAATCTTGTTATCTTTGGCCTACTAGCTTTAGGCAGCCATGGAAGCTACTGAATAGCTCTTGCAGATTCTCAGCTATTGTCTATGAAAGTATATCTTTTCTTTTTCTCTTTCCTTTATTCCTTTTCTCTTTCTTCTTTCTTCTGTCTCTTATTCTTCTCTTCATGATTTCTAAACCTTTGTCTTAGGGTGTTGCTGGAAATAGCTCAAATCTTTTGTGAAAATATGGCAATATCGTTGCCATATTCTCGTCTAAGAGTTTTTATTTTGTTTTATTTTTGTATATCTGTGATAGCATTGGACTAATAGCTCCTTGATGTTCAGGCTTGATCTTTGACCTTTTAGGGAACTGTGATGCAGTTTTTGAAGCAGGATCATAAGAACCATGGAGTTGGTGATGAGGCCTAAATCTCCAGAGGAGTCAGTTGGCCAACTCCAGTTTCTGCTAGCATGAGATAGTATTTTAGAACAAGGTTTCCAGGCTTTTCTGCATCATGACGGAAATGATTTACTTGTATGGCAGACTATAGCCTGGCTCTCCCTGGCTCCCTGAAATCTGAGGGAGGGGTCAATATTTCAGCACATCTATAATTCATTCTTGGCACACTGGTTGGAAAGCTTTGCCTTGGAGAAGAGGAATATGTTACTCTTTGTTTAATACCTTCTGTTTATTTAGCATATAATAATTTACAAAGCACTTTCATACTTTATTTTACTCCAGTTTTTTCCATACTCCATTTTACTCTTAGTTTTACTCCAGCCATATCAAGTAGGTGGAGCAAATAATATTACCATGTTAGAAATGAAAAAATTGAGGGGCGCCTGGGTGGCTCAGTTGGTTGGGTGACTGCCTTCAGCTCAGGTCATGATCTCAGGGTCCTGGGATTGAGCCCCACTTCAGGCTGTCTGCTCAGCTGGGGAGTCTGTTTCGCCCTCTCCCTCTGCCCTCCCCCACTCCCATCCCCCCTCCCACTCATGCTCGCTCTCTCTCAAATAAATAAATAAAATCTTAAAAAAAAAAAGACATGTGTCTTTTGATGTGAAACAACATATAGTTTAGAAATGAAAAAATTGAGATTTTAGATAAAATGCTTTGTATAAGGTCACACATGTAATAAGGGGTGGATCAGGAATTCAAATCCCAGGTGGAAAGAGTCCCTGGGAGTTAAGTCAGTGGCTTGTAACCTCCAGGATGGCCAGGACCCTATCTGTTTTGTTTAAGTGCTACTTTCAAGGCATCAAGGGCAGGGCCAGGTACATAGAAGTCCATAATAGTTGTCAGTTATTAAGTGCTACTCTGGCTAGGCAATATGCTTTGTAGATGCTATATTAGGTATTATATTAGGTATATTAGATATTAGGGATTCTTATTTTCTATTAACAAATGAGGAAACAGGTATATAAACCAGCAGAAGTAATTAGTCCAAGGTCACCCAAGCTGTAAAGGAGAATCACAGACTAATAACCAAAGTTGCTTGCTCCAAAGCTTGTACTCTTTTCACTGTAGTGACTGAATGATTTCATGACATTGTAGGGTAGAGATTGGGTTCCATTTAAAGTGTGTGACATTGGGGGCAAAGGTGATGGTGGCAAAGGGAGCTAGCCAAGTGGACTATTAAGTGTTTATTTTTGGCAGTTTTGCGGTTGAGTTCTAGAGATGATGGCTGTCTTTATTTTAAAGGATTTCCAAGTTGTTTTGAGATGGGGGTGGGATAGAAGAGTAGTGTGATACAACTCAGTGACTTGGGCCATTGGTGCTATAGGTGCTCCTAACAAAAGGGTTAAAAAATATAGATCCTCTTCATATATGACTTAATATTAATTATAGATTATTTCTTAAAGGTAGGTTTACAGATTATTTTTGTTTGTTCTTTATTTACTAATTTTTCTCTACGGCATATTAATGACTTTTAAAAATAATTATACAAGTA